CCTGAGCACTGCCAGGGTCATGCAGCTGTGAGTGCTTTTTGGTTTGACACCAAAATCAGTTTCAGCAGATGATGCACACACGGGACAGAGGCTCCACCTGCAGCCATCAGAGCCCAGCATTAAGCCTGTCTGTGCACCAGTCTGGCTGCTGAGGGCACAGCTGAGCTGCCCAAGCTCTGGTTCTGCCCTGCACTGGGGTGGCTTCACCCAAAAAATGAGCCAGAACGGGCTCTAAACTGTTTTACTACAGGACTGACATCTGAAAGCTGCTCAGTTCTTTGTATCCTCACACTAAACATTGCAAAGGACACTGCTGTGCTTCCCACCTGGAAATCTCAGGTGACACCCTAAAGTGCAAGCTATAAACCTGCCTGGCCGAATGGGTGTCCCTGCACCCTGGGATGTGCAGTCCTACAGGCTGAGCCGACCAAGAGTGTGAAGCTGCAGGTGCTGCAACAGAGCCCAAGGAACAGCAGCAAGAGGGGTGCCAACTCCATCACACCCACATGCAGGGGCTGTACTCCAGCTGCTCTGGCCCTGGAGAGCAGCGTGGTGATGCCAGCAGTGTGGTGATGCTGGCGGTGTGGACACGGCTCAATCGTGACCTGACCTGTGAGGGTTCTGCCAAGCTGGCCTCAGCTGTCCAGCAGCTCTCTTCTCCATCCCTCTGACAGGTTTGAGAAACACTGGCACAGCGAGTGCCAGCACTCCTGCTGAGCACACCGAGTGGCATATCCAGGCTGTGTGACTCTGCTCAGTGACCCTGGGGTCCCCGCTAATGGTGCCTGGGCTGGGCTGAGGCTGAGACCCCCTGCCCAGCCCTGCGAGGTCTTCTGCTGCTCCTGCACTGCCCAGGCAGCAGCCAGGGACACGCAGAGCCGAGAGTCGCAGACAAAGGCGGCCCCCAGTGCCGGAGGGACAGGACAAAAGCGACGCCGGCTCCTCTCCGTGTCCCACCGCCGTCCTGCAGTGCCATCGGCTCCCAGAGCAGAGGCTGAACCCGCCCGGGGCTCTGTGCAGATCACCCTGCCCAAGGAGAAGCTTCTCTGCGTGATTTGGCTTCCTCCTCGCGTCTGCCATCTTAATAACTTGTCTGTGTTTTGTTCTTCCCGGGGTTTAGGGAGAGGCTGCAAAGAGTGTTTAGAGATAAAGCATCCGTGCAGTGTCTCCAGGCAAGGTGCTTCTCCTGGCTTTGTTTCTTGGTCTAATCCCGTCCCAGAACCAGGCATACGCAATTTCGTGTTTCCTGAAGATAAAGAGCCCCAACAGACGGAGCAGCTTTGGGGTTTTTGCAAGGTTCAGCACAGGAAGACAACGGTTGAGATTAACAGCCTTTAGGAAGTTCACAAGGGATAAACTAAAAGTTGTGGGAAAATAAGTTTAGTTTTTAAAACCACTGCATGTGTGTGCTTCCCCGAGTGCTGCCTGTGGGTTAGATGTCCTGGGTTTTCCCGCTGCCTTTCCAAGCGTCTCCATGTTGGGCACATCCAGGCACATGCCAGTTTCTGCTTTATTGCCCCGATAAGCCACAGAATCATTAGAGCTCACATGCAAGGTTCAGCCCCTAGTGAGGGTCTGGCACAAGCAAAGGGGTGCCACAGCAGGGCAGGATTCACAGCAGCTCTGAGGATGTGGGGTTCATGAGTCCCCTCCCAAGGGGTGAACCTGGGTGGGAGCAGATATCCACAGCTAAATTTGGCGACAGAAGGGAAAACTCCCAAGGGTGCAGCAGCAGAGCCCTGCTCGCAGTGCAGCCCTCACAGGCCCAGGGACTGAAAGCCAAACCTGTCCACCGAGTGCATCCCCATCCCAACACAGGCAATTATTTTAAAGGACCTTAAGAGCATAATTTCAGGCTGGTGTAGGAGGGTGCCCGGCAGTGTTATCTGCGTGGCCCTGAGGCAGCAGCGCTGCTATCGCCCCAAGGCGCTGGCAAAGCCCTCAGTGCCGCCAAATCACAGCTTCCAGAGGCCATAAATCAGCCCAAACACAAAGCACCCAGAAGGTAACGCAGACACAGGGAGATTTCTGTGCCACACTTTAAGTAAATGACGTAAGAAAGGACTGAAGTTTACAAACACTCAGCAGATTTATGTCAAAATCTCACCAGGCTGATGTGTTATGGAGGGTGACAAACGCACCAGCACAAGAGAGGTGGCAGGGCAGTGACTGCTGATCCCCATGACTTGTTTCTCGGAAGGGCAGCAGCTCCCCATCCCCAGCAGGGCAGTGATCTGCGTTTCCATCACCCCATCCCTCCCTCTGCCTTATTTTAGGCACCAAAATCCATCTCCGACTCAGCAGTGCAAGTTGGCGATGCTCAGGCCAGGCACAGGGAGCGAGCGGCAGCTGACGCCACGGCCTGGGGAGCAGCTCTGCAAACCCCCGCGGAGGTGCCCGGTACGAAGGGCACTGCCAGCTGCTCCCGTCCCCAGCCGGGGGGCAGAGCCTGGGGCAGGGGACACGGGGTTCGGGGTGGCTCCGGAGCTCGGCCCCGCGGGGCCACGCTCAGCCCCGGCTCCGCGCATGCCCTGGCACGGGCAGAGGAGACGCTTCGTGCTGTCACGGCACACGGCGTCGCCGGCCCCGCGCCAGCTGCAGCCCGCGCCCCGCTCCCTGAACTCGGGGAACGGGGAGCTGGGCGATGGATGGGGAGCTGGGGGATGAAATGGGAGCTGGGGAGGGGGGGAATGGCAGGGAGCTGGGGGTGGAATGGCAGCCGGGGCGATGGATGGGGGTGGGAGACAGGGGGGATGGAATGGGAGCTGGGGGAAAGGTTGTAAAGCTGGGGGGATGCTGCTGCTGCTTTGTGCAGAACAGGCCCCTTGAGCGGGGCTCGCTCCGCGCTGTGGGGACCTGCGGCTGGACGTGACCCCGGCCCTGTGCCCCCTCCTGCGAGGTTTCCGCGGGTGGCTCCATCGCCCCTTCCCCAGCGCCCACACCGCTGCTGCTCTGGGGGCACCCGGGGGACGCGCCTGCCCGGCGGCCGCAGCCCCCCCGCAGCCGCGCTGCTCAGACCCCCGCGCGCCTCCGGCACCCTCCGATCCCCGGCATCGTCCCCGCACATCCCGCGCCGCCGCCACATCCATCGCCGCCCGCCGCGGTCCTCTCCGCACACCCCTCCACCGCGCTCCCCCGCCGCGCTCCACACCCAGTACAAGCCTCCCGGCCCCCGCCGCACACCCGCCCCCCGCTCCACCGGCCGCATCCCTTTCGCCTCTCGTCGCCCTCCCGGCGCGCAGCGCTCCGACCTCCCCATCCCCGCCGGCGGTACCTGCTCCCGAGGGTCCCGCTTCCATCCCATCCACGCGGGCGCCGCTCCGAGCCGGGGGCCGGGGCAGGGCCGTGCCGGGGGCCGGGGCCGGGCAGGGCCGGGGCCGGTGCCGCAGCCGCCTC